TGTAACCAGCCCTTTAGAAAGAAGGTAGTTGTGCTCCAGCCATCAGGGATTTAGATACTGTTCGACATACTTTTATGAACTCGAGAACAATTAATCACTCCTATCCTGCAATAATTTTTGACTGGCAAGCCATTGTTTGGGAGACTTTGGGATTTGTTTTGAGGCCACTGGGTCTAAACAGAGAGCATTACATGTTTATGTATTTACAATAACAGCTTAGTTTCTATGAATAACTTTGGATTTTTCAACATTTCTGTAACAATTAAGTTTCATTTTTAGCTCATCACGCTAGCACATGACCAACCTAATCAAAATATTTTTTTTACGCATTACATCTTTGTTCTAGGATGCCTGGTGAACGAAGTGCAGGTGCCAGGAGACCCACAGTCTGAATCACAACTAACATAACTATGGAACATATGTTCTACCCCAAAAGCTGTTATAGAACTGGACTGTTTCTTTAGAGAAAGACTGCTGCACACTTGGTGCACAAAAGAATGCAATTACAGGTCTTTCCTTTCAAAAGCTGTCTCGTTTCCTAAAGGCTTTATACTTATTGCAATTCCGATGAAGAAATAATTTTTACATTAATGTTTTTATTTGCACAGCTTTACCTATTACCACAGCTTGTATGAGCACCAATTGTTTTAATTTGTGCTCTTGTTTTCACATTTTCCTGTTCCTCTTTAAAAATGTATATTTGCTGTTTTCTTTTGTATGTGCTTCATAGATATTTATTCTTGTATTAATATATACCTTTATTTGATTTTTTGCATAGATGCTGATATATATGAATTTTATTGTGTTCTAATCTATTAAAGCGAGTATAAGAAGCTTTAGTTGAAGTTCTTCATTTGAGTTCTGAGGTTCCTTTGAGAGGCCCAAGTGAGTGATCTGTCAAAGCAACACAAGATTTTTCTGAAGAGGATGTGTTGACCCAAATACAACTCAAAATAGCTCCCCATGAGGTGTTTTGGGCCTTGTTTTGAGACAGAGGACAAGTACTGACCCTAACATTCATGACATTTCCAGAGTATAAGTCTGGATATGAGCAAATGGAAAAGGATGGAAAGGGGAGGGGGCATCTCTCCTTCAAATCCTGGGCTTGTTTTGACAAGAGATACAGGATAAAATATTGTAGTCTGTTCAGAAAAAAAAACATTGCTATTATTAATGTATTTGTTTGTATATTGATGGAATATAAAAATATCTAGAAACACAATATAGAAAAGTAAAACATATGCAAAACTAAACAACTATTTAAATGAAATAATGTAATGACAAATATATTCCTGGGAAATGCATTGGTTTTAAAGTTGGACTAATTGCAAAAAAAATATTACATATGCCCATTGAATGGGATTAGTACTCAACAGTGAAGACTCTTTACTGAAAGAAAAGCACAGCCAAAGTCATTTGAAATTAGCACAAATGGCAACAGATGGAGCAAAAAGATAAAAAAAAAAAAAAATCTCCCAAGTGTTTTTGCTGTCATGACATGAACTCAAGCCAAAACTCCTGGAAGATTGCCAATTATGTGTATCCAGTGTAATGTTCTCAAACACATTGACATCTGACTCTTCTTAGAAAATAAAAATGCAAGACACAAAACATCTGCATGGAATTGGATTTGTGATGATAGCCTTCAAGAATCTGAGAACAAATTCCTTGCCTAACACTAACAGGCTGGATAATAATTAACGAGTATACTACTACATTTGTTCAAAAGTTGTCTTTTAACAATGAGCTCTGATGGAGTTTATTGCACGTAACATCTATAAACTACCACATAGCCAAAATATAACAATGATAGATTAAATACTAAAAATGATTAGTGATAATGCATAGGGAATAAGACAGATAAAGATATACAGACTTCTGTCTGTGCAGTGCATGGTGCCTGAAATCATGGGGAATTTGGGATGGTGGATATTAATCATGCCAGATGGATGTCAAGGATCAGAAGCACAGTGTGTCTGTGACAAATATGATGGTGCAGGCAGGAGCTATAGTAATTAGCTTAAAGGCACATTTAACCTTCTTGAGAAACCTTTCAAAAGAAGGCTGAAAAGAAGAAGACAGACCCCTGTATACAAATTGGAAATTAAATGGATATGTCATGTCCACAGTTTATCTGTGTTAAATATCTGGATATCATTTAGATTCTCAGAGACCCCTTTTGGGTCATCTTCTGCTTGGTAAACAAGACAGTCATATTTAAGGTAAGATACCATTTAACAACATATGCATAGCTGTTTAAATCTATAAGCGCAATATGAGATTATTATTTTACCAATGAAAAAATGTGTTTCAGATATAAATGCATTTTCAGTCAAGCTGTGTAAATAATTCTAGATATATAATTCTTACTAGTATATATTTAGATTTTTTTCTTTCTAAGATTCATTTTCTGCTACGAAAGGGTAATTTAGAAAATGTATTATTACAGGTAGGTCAAGGGGTGTGATTTTGATCAGGACGAATATTATTTTGTGATCTACAAATAGAACAAGAGAGAGGAGTGCTTTTATTAAATGTAAAAACGGGCGTGCAGGTGGCACCCCTCTCTCATACCCCCTTTCCTGTCAGCCTACTGTCAGAAAAACGAGCCACCAGTGCCGTAAAAACAAGAAAAAATACAATAAAATAAAGAAATAAAATAAATGTAAAAATGGCCTGCCATAGCCCCTTCATATAAACGACCACATTAACAGGAGCAAAAACCTTCTCCTTCGCCATCTTACTCTCATTTGTAGCTGTAGCTGTTTCTCTTTCTTTTAAACAGTTTTTTCCTTTTTTATATTTTTTATATTTTTATATATTTAAATCTCTAGTTCCAGTGGGGTGAAATAGGCACTTCCTGTTGCATGTTGTCATGGTTACCTGTTGAATGGGTGCTACAATGATAATGGCTTTTTATACTTGTTGTGCATGCATTTAACTCTGAGTAGACAAAATTGATTATTAAAATTGATTGACTAATTCATAGCAGCCAGACGTTCTCAGTCATCCAGGTCATAGTCATTCCGTAAAAATTCAAAAAATATCCACTGGACTTGGTTTCCAAGATTTGAAGACGTTTCGCCACCTCTCCAGGAAGCTTTCTCAATTCAAATGTCTGGATCCGCAGTGAGTTTGAGTCTTATACTGTATAGACAAAGCCTTGTATTGCTTGGAAACATGCAAATGGTAACCGATGAATGGGTCGTTTGTTTCCATTGTTAATATCTGTAATATCTGAAACCTGTCTATGATTCTAAGGGTTGGTCATTAAAGGGGGGGATTGCCGTTAAGGGGGGATTGTCTTCTGTAATAGCTGAAACCTGTCTATGATTGTTAAGAGTTGGTCGTTAAGTTAAGATATTGTTGTTGATATGTGTGGCTTCGAATGGCATTAACCTGTAGAGATGCTGCTTCCAGGGCTGCTTCCAGGGCATTATCTAAGTTCCCATGTTCCCATGAACCTCCCTGTCGGGTTGCTCGTCATCTTCCACTTTATCTAGGACTGAGCTGCAGTGGCAGCTGTCTCAGCAGAGACTCCCGGACATCCCTGGCCCCAGATACACTGAAAAAAATGAAACATTGGCTCAATTTAAAAAAATTGAGGTAATCGATCACAACTAATATTGTAGTTTCATGCAATATAAATAATCCATTTGATTTGACCTGAAATATTTAACTTCATGTAAACTAATTTCTGAAGGTTGAACCAAAGCAATTATTTCAGATTTTACTAAATCAAAATAAATACATTGGTTTTATTACTATATATAAATAATATACTTGGTTCAACCTGAATATTTTAAATCCATTTAAACAACTTTTGAATATGGGAGCAAACTATTTTTTTTTAGTTGTCTGAAATAAAAATTAAAAAATTTAAAGTCATCATAATGTAATGTTAACTTCAGGCCCTGACAGTGACCCAAAAATCCTGCCACAGTATAATTTCAAATGACCTGTTTGCCGTTTTCGAATTATTATGGTATTGATATTCAACATTTAAATGAAGTTCTTGTTTAATATTGACCGAAAAATATACACCGCAGTTCTTGCTGAGCTCATGAGACTGAGCTCAAGCTTCGCGGCTCCCACAGACACGCATCATGGCGGCTAGCTTCCTCTCCAGAGCTCCGGTGACCCATAAAACCTCTGCTCGGCCTCTCCAACGACAACCATAAACATAACTAAGAAAGTTTAGTTTAATTGAGCAAACTATTTTTTTAATTCATTGGAATGAAAACAAACACATTCAATGAAAAACAGCTTTGTTTCACTTTTTTCAGTGTACCTTCTTCAGCTCTGCTGGGAGAAGTCAGAGACACTACCAGGCCAGCCAAGAGACATAGGCCCAGGGATATCCACCGGGCTTTCTCCCATTGGGACGTCCCTGGACATCTCCCAAGGAAGGTGCCAAAGGAACATCCAATGTAAGAGCCACCTAAGCTAGCTTTTTTTCTTTCAATTTGGTGGAGAAGCGGCTCTACTCTGAGCCTATCCTGGATGACCAAGCTACTCACCCAGTCTCTAAGGCAGTGCTAATTCAAGTCACTTGTATGCTGATTCCTTTTTGCTTCATTCTGTGCATCGGTTACACAATTAAGTATATTACAATTTTTAAAAAAAAGAAGAAAGAAATTATCCAGAGAACTGTTCTAAACGAAAGTTATTTTTGTTTTACACTTGTGTAAACAAAATGAAAAATAAATCTGTCTAAGTCTTTTAGGATTTACCACATGCTGCCTTATCCTCTGCATTATGTTACTGTAACCAAATCCAACTGGATGCAACTTTTGAGAGACTGCAGGGGGAAAAAGCGGTTTGGCAAGGACCCTGCGATCTGTTGAATGTGGAGTTTGTTTAGGAGTGAGAAAATATGTCATTTCGGGAGTCGTGGTTTATTCCAACGTAAGAGCGGGCGCACCAATGAGCGGCTTTCACGCTCCACCCTACCTGCCTCCTTCCAGCCCCCATCCCGCTTCCCCTTTTCCATCCACATACTTACTACTAAGCACGACCTGCCGCTTTGCCACATCTGGACTGGAGACGCTTCTAAACACGCAAAAAACTTCAACTTTTCGCATTGACGCTGCGCAAAACCATTAAATTCATTCAGGCGTTTTTGCGCTTTAGCCTATCTGTCCGCTCAGATGATTTCTTGTCTCTCTCCATAGTAAGTAGAGATTCTTATATGTAAACTGGCGTTTCTGTATCCTCCTGGGTAAACAGAGCCACGTTTGGCAGTTTCATATATTCTATGTTAGGCTGCCACGCTTTTCTACACATGATCTGCCACATTTAAGGGTTGATATTGAAGGCGAGACATCTGTTAAGTCTAGACACGCAGATTAAGATCATTTATATTAATTGTTATTCATTTCACAGTCTGCTCTTGTCGTATCATTGTTAATATTTACTTTTAAACGCGGAAAGTAAAGCCTGTCTGTGATCTGAATGAATGCGTTGATGGTGACATAAGTTGTGAAAATCAGCAGACACCGTTTATGGAATGATATAAATTTTTTGCTTTAAAAAAAAATAAATAAAAGAAGAAAATTAACTTTACAGCAAAACAAAACAAAAACACATTATGTTTATCTATTTATGATTTTGTCAGATCTGGGAAGAAAAAAACTGGAAGAAACCAGAAGGCGCAAAGCTCCATACTGAAGTGTTTAAGTTAGTCTGCGGGGAAATTTAAAAAGACCGAAAATACAGCGTTGGTTTCTTCCCTACAAAGAATCATTTGAACTTCCCACCGCAGAGAGAGAGAGAGAGAGGGAGAGACATAAATAGTTCTGACATGTGGATGTAATTTCAGCAGAGAGAGAGAGAAAAAAAAAAGAAAAAAAAATACAGATGCGCAGAAATAAAGCGAGCGGGCTGAACCGGAGCATATAGTAGATTATAGGAAATTAAATCGAGGTTAGAGCGGGCGATTACATAGTTATGATTTCACAAGCCGCCAGGAGCGTCGACCGGCCAGATGGAGTGAAAAGACGCACCACGCTCCACTTTGAAGAGAGTTAAGTAGATTAAATAATTGCTTTTCGAGCTTCATCAGCTGCTTGCTTGAAGGACTTTCACTCTTCGAGGACGCTGCCAAAGGTTCAGGAATGGGATCATCTCTGCAGCTCTACAACCTGGACTTTCTTCTCATCTCACTCCTCAGCAGTCTGTGCCTTGTAAGTCATCATTTATTGTCTTAAGCGTAATTAGTGTCCTTTTACTGTGATGCTGCACATGTAAAAGCATGGAGGTCCAGATGTGCTTCCTCTGCACAATGACAGCTTGTCAAACACAGAGAAGGTAAACTATCAGCTATTGCATTTTTCCACATGTGCTTTGCACTGGGAATGTTGAGGAGCATTCATATTGATTTTAAGGGTTCATCAGAGAGCCACACACACTACTAATGTTGTGATTGGCCTTGATTTCTTGTAAATTTCATCATCATGTTTGGGTGTGTAGTTAAAGTCACTTTCCCCAAGAATTATAAAAGGGAAATTGGCCTTTTTTTCACATCACCTCTGTGTCATTAGCTGAGTCTGTGTTGCATGTCACAGTTTCATCAACCTGTGTTACAGTAATTACAAAATATTCCAGGCAAACAATTACCATCCATTTCAAGTTCATTGTTGCATTTAATTTCATTTTACCTCAGTTCTGTACTCGTGTGCACGGTCTAATTTAGTCCATGTTCTCTGAGCTAGAGCCAGTTTTGGTGTCCTTACCATCAAGTTTGTTTTGCCTTTGCAAATTAAATGAGACTAAAAGTATGCTACGTGTGAATTTTAAGGTTTATGTGTCTTGTATAGGTTCTTTGAAAGCATAGTGTAATTTAGCAAAATATCTTCAGCTATAAAAAGAAAAACTCATGGATGTGGCTGTGTAAGATGGTCACTAAAGTACTTAATTAACTAAGACTAGGGTGGCTAAAGCTTGCAGTTGTGATGTCTGGTCAGAGGTAATTTTATTGGTTTCATATAGTTAAATTATCTAATCTGATACAGACTTCTGTTTATTCACTTTAATTGAAATACAGGATAAAACATTAACTTGTTAAGAGAATCAGAAATCTGAAGACCACAACAATATAAGCATCGCGTAAAGTGCAGCACAGCCTGTGATACCTTACAGTGGCTTATCTTTTTGAATTTTCTTGAATCATGGCAACAAATGTTTATAACATCCTCAAATCTTACATGCAATTCAATTAGGTTATAGATTACAAGATAAGAAAAGATAAACATTAAAATTTTCTTTGCCAGTTTTTTCTTGCAATCATCATCATCTACTTTGAGGACAAAATGTTCTCTTGCTAGCAAATACTTCACATGCTGATGAAAAGATAATCTGTTAGCCACTAAAGGTGTAACTAAACCCGTTATAAATGCATAAAGCTGTCCCAGATGGATTTTGAAAATGCCACCAAAGTGGGCAGTGCCATAAAAGCAATGTGTGGGGATGGAGAGGTTTAAAGTCGTAGGGAAGTCATATTTCAAATCAATTTCAAATCATTCTGGCTTAAACCTGTATATAAATGTACCCTTTATCAGACCAGATTGTCCCAAAAGTAAATATATTATTATATTATTATATATTTTATATATCTATAAAAAAAAAAAATCCTGTCTTAAAGTCTGTTTTTTTTTTTTATTGTTATTTTATGCAGGCCAGTTAGTTATACGTCAATCCTATATCAAATGTCATCTGTCAATCAAATTTTTACGGTCATTGAATCTTGATTCATATGTCACAGCTAATATACGGAATGGTTGAAATAAGAATAATTAATCATTGAGTAAGGCCCCCAGTTTTTTTCAGCAGCAACTCACAATTATTTAGCAAATCCATTAACTGTCAATTATATTTTCAATTAATTCATTAATAATCGATTGCAATGGTTCCTTAAAGAAGTTTTTTTATGAAATCAAACCAGGTCAAACTAAAACTTTCAATACTCGATAAATCACTATTAATCCGATTATTTGTTTCAGCCCTAGCTATTTAATTTATATAAGAAGCTGTACACTTTTACCTATAAGAACATATAACTGCAGTAGCCACATTTTAGATTAAAGAGGTCTGCTCTAAGACAATTTTGGGACAATTAATGTAGAGTTGTATGAATTTAGACGAAAACTTCAAGATTTATTCAGTACCGTAAAGATAGCGTCCTTAACATCCAATTTCTACTGTTGATTTGCAAAAAAAAGGATGTATGGGTTTGTTATCCTTCAAACTTTTAGTTGTGATACAGGTAAAGCTTCTTAAAAACTACAGCGAAGACGTTGAAAGCAGCATGACTATTACGAAGCTTACTGCAGCTACAATTTGTCTGATCACCACTATAAGTTCAGTGGGTTTCTGCTTTGCTTTTTACATAAACACCTGAATCAAAAGAATGTAAAAAAAATGTAATTGAAATGATAAAAATTTTATAGTGTGGATAATCAATGTATTGCTATTTGAACAGCTGTTTAAATAACTTGTGTCCCCAGTTTTTGTCAAGAATAAAGATTTAATTTAAATGCAGTGATGCAAGGAAACTTTGACATATTTACTCAAGGTTGTTATGCTGTGAGAATCTTAAACCTACCTATGCCTAGTAATCACACTCTTGTTCTGTCAAGCACGTTCCCTTACTCATACAATAGCTGAAGGAGGCTCGAGCCCCTTGTTGTGTAAAATGTATTAAAGGTCTCATCTGACTGACTTCCAATTGTCAAAATGTTTAATCTCTCCAGCAGGCTTGATTAACTGTTGTAAGGTTTGCTTTAACCAAAGATACCATGACTTGTAAATGCCTTTTTTTAAATATTGTCATAGCTGTATCCAAAAAGCCCACTGCACATGCACACACCGTGTATGCAGTGCAGCACACTGTGTTGGTTTTGTGTGTTTTGGCTGAAGCTGATGTGCATTCAACAGGCAGTTCGCCCAGGCTCTGAGGTACAGTGCATTTTCCTAGTGATGTGGTCCATCACTGTGCCGCAGTGGACCTCTGGGCTCAGTGGCATAGATGGCAGAAGAAAACAATTAAAATAAAACTGTATTTATAGCTGATTCAACATTAAGTCACTAAAAGGCTCTGTCTGTGAATGATGTTTACCCATTTTTATGTTAGGTGTTTGCTCAGTCTTTCCCTCCACCCAAAAAAAAAAAAAAAAAAGCTGTGGCCATCTAAACTTAGAGTGGACAGTCTGGCTTTTCAAACATGAAATAAGGCTTTTTGACTTGAAACATCTTGTAAAAATGCAGGAGTTTTCTAGGGGCTCAGTATTTAAACTCATATTTTTGGGTGTTGCACTTCCAACATATTAATTGATCATAGTAACCATTATTGTGTTTTACACCTCAGCAGGCAAGCAGCTGTGACAATCAACAGATCAAGTATTAGCTCACACCACCTTTGTTCGATGTGACAGGCTGCCTTACTCTATTATTACATTTATTAGGAGGAAGCAGGGCTTTCAGAAAGTCTTAGCAGGGATTTAATTTCTACCTCATGACTGTGTTTTCCTCCTTGATGACTTGCATGTGTCTGGATATGCAGAACGGATTTGTGTCTGCTCAATGCAGCCAAGCATTATGTCAAGGTTCTGTAGACAAAATATTGTGGCAAAAAAGTCAGTTTTGCTGTGTGGTGGAGAAAACCTATATTTTCACATTTTATTTCATTCATTTTTCTTCCAGAAAGTTCCACAAATATGTTAGAGTTGCATTGCTGATAAACAAACCAACTATGATTTTCACAATAATCCACTAGTGAAATTAATGCACACATAATTAAAAATACATTATTGAAAAAAAAAAAGTATTTTTCTGCATAATAGTACCTTCAATGTTGATTGATAGGATAATTTGTATACCCCAGGATCGTGTGTGTGGCATACAGTTTTACCTTAGTGAGTGCAAGAAGAAAATGACACAAACAAAAAAACTTTAAACTACATACTGTACATCTATACTCCTCATAACCTTTTCAATGTAATTTTATCCATCCCTGTCAATTTTTTTTACCCAGGAGAATTTCATAATGCAGATTACAGTGCTGGATAATCTCTTATCAGTCTGTCCCTGGTAATTAGTGCCAGCAAATATTTTCTCACTAATTTACCCAGTGGTTCATTTGTAAAATGGGTTTCGATATTGAAATTCCTTTTTAAATGCCTCAGCTGAAAGCTAACATGACTTATGCAAAAACCTGTTCCAATCTGTGTGTTTATTTGCAATATGTGAATGTGTTTAAAGGGGTAAAACATGAAATATCCTTGTTAATGTTTCCCCCTTGTCTGCAAGTAGAATGTGTAAAGGAAGACTTAGTTTCACTATCTAGAATTAAACATAGCATTAAAAAGAATTTTTTCACATCTTTTGTTATTTTACCATATTTAGACATAAAGATTTTTGATATCAACTTTTGGAACACTGAACATTTCTACTGATATAAGCAGAATCTTTCTCATAAAATGTAATAAAAATACTTTTCTGAAGAGGAATAAATCAGGACAAGACATATAGGCTAATTATAATCATATTTTGCAGGTGAATATGGTTTAGGCTTTGTTAATCAGTATTTTCAGAGAGATTTGTGAAGTAAAAACCACAGATATGTTGCTTAGTGCGCTCCTAACTGCTAAAGGTATATCTATAGCTGTCAGTCTTTATTAGGTAGATTGTTGTTATAATCTTTGGCTACATGTACACTGCAGGCAAATGTGACCTAAAAGCTGATATTTTTTTTGCCTATATGTGACATTATCCAAATTTTTAATCAAAGTCAAATAGCAAAATTATAATCTTTTCACTTAAAAAAATATTAATTTTGCCACTTTCACATGTACTTAAAGGAGAAGTTCGGTTTTTTACACTTTAAGCCCATTTTCTGTAGTGTCCAGGATGAAATCGAATGATCGACACCAAAAGTTTGACAATTGCTCCTGTCTCTGCTTTTTGGCTCATTTAGAATCACCCCTGGCTGCTTTAGAATGGCTAGCATAGAGCATGTCCGATAATGTCCTTAAAACAACCTTAAACGTTCTTTTTTTAAAATATGCTACTCACCGGGTCGTCAGCGCTGTTCAATGACGTTCCAAAAAAAGTTTCGTAAAGAAAAAACGTTCCTGTAGTGTTTTATTTAGCATTTTGTAAATCCCATTGAGTTCTGTAGGAATAGTCA